AACATCTTGGAACATGGATGCAACTGGAGAACATTATGTTGAGCAAAATAAGTCAATCACAAAAGAACAAATATTGTATGTTCTCACTTTTATGAAATGACATGAACAGGCAAATACAGAGAAACTAACGTTCATCGGTGGTTACGGGGAGGGCGAGAGGAATTAACTCTCTAGGTACTACACACTTGTTATTTTTGGTGATGGGAAAGGCAACAAACAAATGAGGGTGAAGTGTGTGCAGCCTGATGAAGGGAAACGATATCACTAAAATGTACACAAAGGGACCTTTCGGTAATTGCTATGGCATATATGATTTTGAAACAAAAGCAACAACCACCAAAAAATATATGTGCAGGTATATATGTATGCATGTAGATACATCTGTGCATAGGTATGTATATGTGAGTATATGTGTGTGTGTGGATGTATACACACACACACGTATGTACCCATTGCCGTCAAGTCGATTCCGACTCAGAGCGACCTTACAGGACAGAGTAGGGCTGCCCCATAGGGTTTCCAAGGAGCTGCTGGTTGATTCCAACTGCCGACCTTTGGTTAGCAGCCGAACTCTTAACCGCTGCTATATAGGTGTATGCAAATATGTGACTGTATGCACATATATTCTTGTATGTAATAAAGCACATAGGGAACACAGTTACTGGTACCTTTTAGGCATAACCAAACGCCTTGCAGGACTGCTTTCCTGGGTTGAAAGACTATGACCACAGTCTTGTGGGACATCTTCGTCAATTGGTATAATACAGTTCCTAAAGTTTATGTTCTACATTCCAGTTTGGTGAGTAGTGTCTGGGGTCTTAAAAAGATTGTGAGCAGCCATCTAAGATACAACTATTGGTCTCTACTCACCTGGAGCAAAAGAGAAAGAAAGAAATCAAAGATTCAAAGAAGAAACTAGTTTACAGGACTAATAGTCTACATGAACCACTGCCTCATCTACTCTAAAATTAGAAGAACTAGATGGTGCCCAGCTAACAATATAGACCATTCTGACCAGGGTCATAAAAGATGTACCCTGATAGAATGGGAGAAAAATGTGGAAGAGAACCTCAAATTCTTTAAAAAAAAAAAAAAGACTTATTGGACTGGTTGGGACTGGAGGATTCCCCAAGACTATAGCCCTGAGAGCCTCTTTAAACCTTAAACCTAAACTAGTCTGAGGTCACCTTTTAGCTAAGAACAGATTGGCTCACAAAATAAAGAATATCACCCATGAGTACTGTGTTCCTTTAAAACAGCATCTATATGAGACCAAAAGGTCAACAATTACTTTAAAAAAAGATGAGAATGTAAGGGGGCAGGGAAACTAGATTAATGGAAACAGAACCACCAGAACGGAAATATTGACAATGTTCACGTCATGAAGAATGTAACTGATGTCACTGAACAATCTGCGTAGAAATTGTTGAATGGGAACCTAAACTTCTGTGTAAACCTTCACTGAAAACACAATAAAATATTACTAAAAAAAACCATGTTCTGTGTTTTTAAGTCTCCTCCCTAGATTCTTGTCAAATGTGAGATGAGCCAAAGAGCCTCATCTTATGAATTTCGGGTTAATTCCCAGACATCCCCTGCCACAGTCTGACTACATGAAAGCCACAATCAGGTGGTGAACAATTGGGCATTCTTAGCCTCCTGAGGGTGTTCAGAGGACTATTTCTTAGGTCAGATGCAAGTTTGAGTTTTTGTAAGAAGACAAGTTCTATTGTTAATAAATCTTTCTTGTCTGCAACAACATACCTGAATTCACTTAAAGCATGACATCTGATCATATCGAATTGTGCAGCTGGAGGAGATAGGTTTAAAGACTTAGTGTGAGGATGAAAAGGCCATCTTCCCTCACAAGTGCAATGTGGGTGTTCAGAAGGACTAGTAACTGGGAATGGCCTTGGCTGACTGGCAATGGCTTTGGCTGAAGTCATCCTCAACACTGACTGCCGTGTAGAGCAATAACGGAACCTCTGCCAGAGTGGGGATGCTGATCTCCATATTTCCATGAAGAAAGTAAATCATGTCGACCAAGGTACTCTGGAATTTAGACGACAATCGAACTGTGTTTGCCAGAACTAAATCAGAGATTTCTGTTTTCCAATCAAGAGAAAGCTGAACCAGATCTTGCCTTAGCAAAGGATGACTAGTGCAGGAAGCAGCCTCAGACTCTGGCATCTAGACACACAGGAGCTCACAGCATATGTGTTGAGAAAGGTATTGTGGTAACAGAATATAGTGAGCAAGAGACCCTCTACAGAGCCAGGACTCAAACACTCTGTCCGTCAAAGCTGACTTGAATCTCCTTTAGTCCCGAGAGAGGAGAAAAATGCCCACTGAGCCAGGGTGATTATCTGACAGAACCAGGGCAAATAAAGTTGAATGAAGCAGAAGCAAACATGCTGGCGGGGGATCAGGTTCTGTGCAGTTAGCAACAGCAAACCAGTAAACATCTTTGACTTCATTCATGCCACCCAAAGTTTCTGGCAGAGAAAAGCGACATGTTCAAGGTCTTTTAAAGGGTGCTCTTGAAGTTTCGGCATTCAGTCTGCTTAAAATGCAGAGCTCTTTCTAGCATCTTCATATTCAAGCCGGGACACTGAGGTTGGCAAGGAACCTGGTAAACCTGCAGCTGTGAAGGCAGGAGCTGTGTAGGACATGGTGCTCTCTGCTGGCCTCATGTCCCCTGCCTCTTCCCTGTGGCTACTGCCAACCTGAGCTTTGGGAAAACAATGAGAGTCTGATGACGCCAGGTGTCACTTGAAGGGCATGTCCAGGGATGCGTGTTTCAGAAATGGCAGATTTCTGATGAAGGCTGTTACACGGGAGGTCAGCCCACTTGTCACACAGCCTGCCCATATGCCTGGCTTGACTGATCACCTTTGTGCCAGCCTACAGCAGGTGATGACTGGCATCTTCATAAAGGTCTGAGAACTTGGGGTAAAAATACTCCAATCCATTGTTTACTTCTGTCCTGATGTTTACAACTGCTATAGGGTCACCACGAGTCAGAATCAACTCAACGGCAATGGGTTTTCTGGAAAGCTAATTTTTTTAGCAGCTACCTCTTTCTCAGCTTGCTGCTCCCTACGAGACACCAAAGCTGGGGCTCCCGGAGGAACACTGTCCCTAGAAATACTGTCAGAGGGAACAAAGCAAAGCACCTTGCTCCACCTGGTCTGGGTATTTCCACTACTTATAAACACTTCTTGGGAAGTATGTCACAGCAAAGTCCAGCTGTACTCACTCCTCAAGCTGCATTCATCTCTATGAGCCATCAGCTTACTGAACTTTCTGAAATATCCTGAAAATATTCTGCGTTGCTGGTGTTGCTTTCTTTAAACAAGTTAAAAGAGATTTTAGACAGATTACAACATTTTGGTTTGAAATTGCCAGCATGCTCAGGACAACTATATTTATAATTACTGTCCTGCAACACCTCTTGTACCAAAGACTGATCTCTTTTGCTTGTGGGCTCTCTCTCGAGATGCTGAGGCGGAAGTCTTAGGGCTTGAGATGTTCCATGTCATGAGAATACTCCAGTGGGTGTTCTGATCCACTTCCCTCCTCTCCCCTCTAATGATGCTGCAAATGACAGTGGCATCTTTGGGCAGAAGTGGTGCAAGATACTGTGCCAGCCAAGAGTCCCTTTTCTGTTCAAGATGTCAAAAAACAGTTGAAATGCAGATGTGGGATCACCTTTTGTGATTCTTCTGCATATGATGATTCCTGCAGTCATTGGTTTCACTTTGCGGATTGATTCAGATGTTAAACAGAAAGCCTGAGCCATTTGTATTGACTGATATATGATTTAAGAATAATAAAAATTAGAACAGATGATCTAATTCACATATAGAAGATCTATTTCCATATTATATACCTTGTATATTGGTGAATATTTTGATAGATATACATTGTACGGTATTGATCCATAGTATCCATTTCTTGGTCTCTTACTTCACTTTCATAAATCCTAAGACCTTTGATTCAATTTTTAAAAGGTCGAATTTAGTCATGAAAATAAGTACATGCCCATATATCCAAAATGTAGAATAAATCAGGGCATACTTATAAAAATCAGATGGCAAGGCCAAAAAAAATTCACAAGCATTCCAACCCAGACCATGTGTTTCTCTCCTTTTGGCTTGTTTCATGGGAATCATTAATTATGTCTGTCCTGGTTAGATTGCCATCATCCTCATCTACAAACTATCACCACGAAAGGTTCAATACACGCCTGCTATCTGTCAGGTATTACAGACACACACAAATGAAAGGCAACATCCTGCTTGTTACAAGGTTGTCTTCTAAGGAGATGGAATCCAGAAGGAACACAGGGTCATTACTGGATGATCAGCAGAGGGGGGATGGCCTGTGGAACACCTACTCTCCTGCTCTCTTCAATATTGCATGGACACCATCTATTTCTATCATCTAGTATAAAATTTTATTTTTCTTTTAAGTTTAGGAATGTATGGGAAGGACATGCCCCTCAGCAAAGGAAAATACAAGTAAAATCCTACAAATCATATGCTCAAATGAACTTTGGTTTGACAATCCACCAGAGAAATAAGCTAATCAATCAAGATTATTTCCTTTCTACTAGCGCCAGCTCAGTCTACAAAAGGAACAGGGTTTTTCAAACGAAGAGAAGCACTCCCTTTCAGTTCCAAATGCCGTATCTGATTCTGATTATATAATTCTGCCTTTTAAATACAGATCAAGGAAAACGATACTGTTACAAATGAAATACCGGGCAAAAGGCCTCCACCATAGCCAGATGCCATTCAAATAAAGTCAAAGCACTTTTCAACCTGCAGGATTCCATTTAATTTTCAGTCTATATAATAGCTCGCCTTCCCTATTAGCCATTAATCTCACTGGAACTTCAAAATTCTAATTATGCAACTAAACATTAAGAAAATTTAATCAGATGAGCATGCTATTAATTTAAGATGACCTTATCAATCTGAAAAATCACTACCTACCTTGTATTTTAGCTTACGTTGAATGGTGCCATTTTGAAGTTTCTCATTATCCTGAAAAGAAAAAGCCCTCTATATTAAATTACAGTGTTTTCATAGCTGGAAAAAAATTGAGTTGATCAGAAATATTTAAGGGAACAAAATTCTAAAGAAACACACTCACCATTCAAAAATGACATCTTTCTATAGAACTTATATTCCCTAGGTAAACATGACTCTATTCATCATCTGCTTGTAAGGGAACTGAACCACTTATTCCTAATCTTAAAATTCTAAAAAAATATATTTAAAGCAAGATTTCCTTAGGACAGTCTTTAATATGCAGGACAGAAATGAAATGTCTTTGTTGATAAAAATCAACTTGTCACAAATATACATTTTCTCAAAGGCAAAATGTATATTTCCACTTTGGGTAATTTATAAAGTAAATTAAATGCTTTATGAAAATAGGGAGTTGTGTTTTAGGATAAAATGGGAAAACATTACAAGTAGAATTTTTATAAATCAAGCAAAGTAAATACAGCACTTTAGGAGACTTATATTTCCTTAACAACTCTCCTAATAGTCTAAAATTTTAAAATAAAGTTACTCTCAAATTAATACTATTTACAAACTGTTAAACTCTACTTGAGCAATATTTAACTATTTATTTCTAGAATGTTCCATATTCAATCTGTATTTCAGTGTAACACCTGAACTTTCTCACTGAGAACCGGTAATAAGCCCTTACCACCACCAACCCTAACTTATTTTAAAGGGCATCTTGAGAAGGAATGACCATATGACTTCGCCCCTTCAGCTCACCTTCATCCCTTCTGCAGATGCCCTGCTGTCACTGCCAACCACACGATGCAAATCCCGAAGGCGTCTTTGGACTTCCTCTTCGATGTAGGCATTGATCCTTAAAACATGGAGACAGGGCCCTTTGAACACTTTTAACCACCTAGGACATTTTGAGCTCCTTTCTCTATCATGCCTTCATAACAGAGGCCTTTTTCATTCAAAATGCCAAACAGTAACACCACCTTGAGGCCTTGAACATCTTTCTCCTAAGAAACCCAGTGCTGCGTGTTCACTATCTGGGTTTTCCCCCAAACTGGAGAGAACCTGATGAATGACAGAATCTTGGGAATAGAAAGGAGACTAAGTGATCTTATCCAAATCTTTTCCAGATGTTCTTAGTGGAACCCCACAGCAGAAAAGGGGGAGTCACAGACACTGGCTTCACAAGGCTCTGTGGTCTCAGGCCTTACTCTGAGACCATACACTTCACTTGCTGAGCTTCAGTCTTTTCAAACAGAAAATGATAACAATTGTTTTTCACTGCGTACGTCTCACATACTTTGGACATGTTATCAGGAGGGATCAGTCCCTGGAGAAGGATATCATGCTTGGTAAAGTAGAGGGTCAGTGAAAAAGAGGAAGACCCTCAGCAAGATGAATTGACACAGTGGCTGCAACAATGGGCTTACACATAACAACGATTGTGAGGATAGCACAGGACCAGGCAGTGTCCTGTTGTACATAGGGTTGCTATGAGTTGGAATTGACTCAACACACCTAACAACAACAACAAGGTCATTTATGAAAATAAAAAAGGGTAGGTGGACACACTCTCTGTGAATCTTCACTATTAAGATCAAACAATGTCTTGCATTGTTCCTCATTTGTCTTGTCTCTCCAACTAGGTTATCTGCACTAGTTGGTAGAAATCACATCTTGAAGGGCTCTATCCTATAGGGTCACTATGAGTCAGAGTCGACTTGATGGCAACAGGTTTGGTTTGGTTTACTTTCCAAAACATCTGGCAAAGTGGGCCAAGGCAGAGTAGAAGCCAAAAACATCTGACTTTTAAGGGAACTGTCAACTGTATATATGATACCCCACAGAATATATGTGAAGCTGTATGACACACAACCATCAACCTTCACCATTTCGGTGATTTTGGCCCAATCTCTGGTTTGGCTGATTTGGCTTTAGGCCATTCCACCCAGAGGGACCACAGAGACCAGAGAATTTTAGTGCCGTTCTAGGGGTTTGGTATGCCCAAACAGAAGTCTTACTCAGTTGCAGGCCCCCTTGCCCTCAATCCTACAGACACTGATTAGATGAATTATTTTAAATTAACTGTTTTCCATGTTTACATCTTAGCATGTTAAAAAAAATTCAGCTTCATCTTTCCAAGCATATGCATAACCCTGTAAATACTTTTTGTACTACTGACCAAGGTAAAAATGATTTTCTAAAATGCCAGGTAAAGAGATTATTAATATTTTAAGTAAAACATCGCAGAAGAATGCATTTAAGGTAATAAAGTGCAATATTTACCTTTTAGTACTAAAAATAAAACCATGTGCAACTGAACCTGAGCCAAGGCCATTTACATGACATTTACTTAAATTTTAAACTAGCAATATGGAAGATGCAGACCTAGATTTAAAGGGATACATAGGCTCATGCCATTCTTATTACATTTTGATATCCAAATACTCTAAATCTCCTAATATCCAGAGCTCAGGACTACCCAATTTAAAATGTCCCTTTGACCTTGAACGGGTTGAGGAAAACAACCGTCATTTTCTTACAGGCAAAGAATGATTAAGCTGATTTATCTGGGACCTCTAAACTATGGAACAATTCACAGTACCACTCAGAGAGAAAATTATTTTTCTATAGTAACATCAGATATATTTTTATGCTATTTATGATCATTCTGAACATACTGGTACAGTTTTTATAACAGATTTCATCTATCTGTAATCAATGACATATAAAATTAACTGTCAGCACAAAGTCCTCTATGTTCGTACAGTTCAAATAAGTCTACTTCTTTGTTCTTCCCAATCTGGCCTTGCATCACTTCTTCCTGGCTGGGCTGATTTCTCTGAACCTTTTAATTCTATCTTCTCACACACACAACTTGTATCAACAGGTCCCAGATCTTTGACTCCCTAACAATAGCACACCCCACCACCGGTGGGGCAGCAACCGATGAAGATAAAGCATGTTTCAGGCACATGCATTGCTTGTTGCCTTTCGTAGATCCCTCCACATGCAATCTGATGAGTACAAGGACCCAAGCGAGTCGTTAAACCACATTACAAATGCAGATATGGCATCCACTAAACGTCAAGTACCTGGCGTCCATCAGGGGCATCAGATGAGCCTGAGACTTTTCAGTACTGAGTGGCAAGCTAGAAGAGGAAGCCTTCCCCTCCAGGGTCCCACAATCCCATTTCTGAATGCCATCAACCTCACAGATCTTCTCCTTGAGCTGCCGGATTTCATGTTCTAACCTACAGAGACAGGAGCCACATGAATCCAATCATTAACAGTATTTCCTGAGCCTCTTTGCTACATGAGACACGGATCCAGACAAAACCTATGTGCAAAGAGCTTTACCTTCTAGTAGAAAAGGTGTCACATACGTTTAACACAGAGCGTGAAGTGACAATAGGCCACAAAGGGGGTTCAGAACAAGTGCTGCAAGTGTCTAAAAGTTGGAAGGAATTCTACCATCAAGGGCACAGATATTCCCACTGTGTCCCAAGAAGTCCTCAGAGAGGGATGTACCGGATACTGAGCCCACCACCCCTGCTTCAATAGAACAGTTGATTATTGACTATATATTGGGATTTCACTAAATATTTTTTTGACAAAAGAAATCTATGCTCTGAAGAGTTTTTAAAATCACCAATCAAGGAGGATCTTTGTGGTCAAGGCAGTTCTAAGCTGAGTCTGAAGAGGCCAGTGGGAATCTGAACTTTTGGAAATGATGATGGAAGGTTCTCCAGGGGCAGAAGCAATATGAAAGAAAACCAGAAACCTAGTTTGGCTAAGTAGAGGGTGTGGGAAAGGGGAGGAGAGAAGGAGAGACAGAACTAGGAAAGCAGGTAGAGTACTGCAGAAATTCCAGTAACCCCCAAACTGTGGAACCAAACACTTACCTCCCATGATAAAGAATACATCATGAGGTCAAATGTGTGAAAGTCATTTTTCTACTGGCTCAGGCATCCTGAATCCAGAGCCAGCAGGCTAGAATGGCCAAGTCTGAAAATAAGTTTGACCCCAGGGAGGTCTGGAGTCACTCACTATGTGAACTTGGGCCAAGTTACTTAAATCTGAGTCTTATGTCTTCATGTATAAAATGAAAGTCAATTAGTCTCTCTATATTCCTTCAGCCCCAAAATTCAGAAATTCTAGACTCGGATGCTGATACACCATGATGCTCCCAGCCCTCTGGTGTCACCAGCAGCAACTTGACTGGTCTATCCTGAAAATGAAAGCCAAGTTCTTAACTCTCAGACACGTGATCTTGGGGTCATAAGAGTCAGCACTCATGGGTACCAGAGAAGGCACTGCCCTAACTCAGCCTTTTGTCTGTCTACCAACTAGCAAATACTCACTGAGCACCAACTGCATACTATATAATATTTTCAAAGGAGGAGATAATATATATAAAAGTGGGATGTAGGGGGCCAATGGTGGGCAAAGAACCAGGGCACAATATGAACACGTTCTCAAAGATGGCAAAGAAAATGAGCTGCATGTAAGTAGGTAATCACCAGTGTTTGTAACTAAGAAGATGCCTACTGGGGTTGTTTAGGGAAGTCCCTCAGGACTGGGCAGTTGAAAAGACTGCACAGAGCAAATGGGGTTTGAGTGGGGCTCTAAAGGCCGAGCAGGATTTAAATGGTGGCAACGGACAAATTGGGCAACTCAAGAAAGGCTGCAGCACTGTGAAGAACTGGTCTACACGTGCAGCAGCTGTGTGGTCAGCAGACAACGGGGCAAAGTGGTTAAGAGTTGGATGGTAAGTAGACCTAGATTCAAGTTGCTATGCTCCACTTTCTGTTGACATGGTCCTCAACTGTTACATAACCACTGCAGGCTTCAATTTGCCTATCTATAAACGGGGGACACTGGCACTCTCCTCATTTGAAGAGTAAATGATAATGCACGTACAGCATTTAACACAGAGGCTGGGTACAGAGTTATTCTCCATAACTGGCATCATCACTAATACTATTACTACTACTACTCTATTATTAAAGAGTTCTGACCGTCTGCCTCTGTTCTGACCCCACACAGGGGAAGGGAATCCCTGCTAAGGTGACAGGAGGGCTTTTCAAGTTGCTGGGAAGCTGCCTGATACATGCCACTAGGGCAGCTGCAATGAGCAGGTGGTGGGAAAAAGACAGCGAAATGGCTTCAAGCTCCTTCGTAAAGCACTGAGAAGCCAACGGAAAAGCCAAGTTTAGGGCACTGCTGTCCACTCTGGTCCCACATGAACTGAATTTAATATTTCATATTTGTACAATTTTCCAAATGGCAAATCAGGTGGACCCTGGCTGAGCCATGAGGACCCTGGAAGAAAGTAAGACGTAACAGAAGCCCCCACAGAAAGCTGTAGAAGCACAACAGCGAGAGCAAAGAGATCACGGTTTGTAGGCCTGAATTACGCAGGCCTCGGCAAAGTCTTTTCCATCAAAACGTGTTAAGCTAAGAGCCTCCTCTGCGGGGCTCCTGGAGGAATGCTGACACGGGGAAATCACTTCCGTGGAAATTGCAGTACTGCTCCCACTATTACAGAGGCTTAATACTAAACGCCCAGGGAGTGGAGCCGGTTGACAAAAGCCAGAGACATCAAGCTACAAGCTCACACGGCAATCGTCTGCACACTGCAGGGTACGAGCTGACAGCATGCCCTCCACTGCTTCACAGCGTGCCCTCTGCTGCTTGCAACGTTTAGGGCTGGAGATTTGTCCAGCAATTTCATTTACATAACACATCTGCAATCATTTTCTTAAACCTCTGACCTATTTTTCTGTATAACAGCATTATGGTTTTTGACTGTAATTTTGTTGCTCTGTTTTGCCTACAGGAATCACCAGGCAGTGACTGTGAATATAATCCACAGTCTACAAGCACATCATCTGAAAAGAAGGTTTTCCTGACCTTTTTAGGCAAGATGGTAGACGAGACTTCAATTCTTCACAGTAGGGACTGCCTTAACATAAACAATTGATCCATGTCTCTGCTGAAATGTCAGGCTGGGATCTTAGAGACCAGGAGCTTCTCTTGCAGCCCCTCAGGAGGTGCTGTGGGTGGGGAGTATGGCAGAGAGGGCTGGTTCCAGGCCCTCCAATCAGGGCTTCAAGTGAAGATCTCAACTGAAGCAAGGGTCTGGGGCTAAAAGAAAATTCTTACACCCCTGATCTCATCCACCCACTTCTTGCACAGGTGAGGGATACTGTGTCCCAAAGAGGAAACACCCTGCTCAGCGAGGTCAGAAAAGCTGGGTCCAGAGATGAATCTCCGTTGCCGGACCCCAAACTGGGTGCTGTTCACACACCAGTGGCATCAGCCTTTCTGGGAATCCTGGCATTACATCTGCAGGGCCACCAGAAAAAGTGCTGTCAAATTCATGCATTTATTCATCTTGAGAACCTACTGCCTGGTAAGCATTGTGACAGGGAATAAGTGGAGAAAGACAATGAATATCCTTCCCTTACCATGAAAATAGTTCTAGTTTGCTGGTTTCATTTTTCATAACACCAAAAATAATATCAGATACTGTAAATCACCACAAAGCACACCTGAATACACCACTGTGTTCAGAATCATCTGAAAAGTTTTGCTTGTTTCGTTTGCTTTTTAAACACAGAATCCTAAGGCCTCCCCTCAAATATTGTAAATCTGTAGAGGTGGGAGAAGTATTTTTTTTTTTTTTTTTTTTAGTTTCCTACCAGGTATTGAAATCAGTATATGGTATGCAACCCGTGAACTCAGGGATGATGCTTTACTGTAAAAAGTGCTAGTCACAGAGAAGCTGTGGAGCCAGTGGTGAGGGGAGAAAGGGAAGAAGGGAGGGAAACAGACAGTGGAGGAGGGAGAGAGGAAGAAGGGAGGAAGGAAGACAAGGAAGGAAGGACAGAGGGAAGGAGGGAGAGGCACAGGGAGAAAGGGAAGGAAGGAACAAAGAAGAGAAAGAAGAAGGGGAGGAAGATAGGAAAGATAATTTAAAAGGAGGAGGAAAGGGAAAGGAAGAGGAGGGAACGAAAAAGGGAGGGGAGCGAAGAGACAGAAGAGAGGAATCACAGCTTGAAGCTTTCTCCATCTTTTGTATTTATCGAAATATTAAAACATACAGATTCCACAGGTCAGTAGGGTAACGGACAAGGGCTTTGTGTTTGTGTGATTTTTTTTCCCCCCAACTTTAGGCCAAAGATTCTAAAACAAGGATACTAAGGAGAAATAAAAGAATGTTTAGAGGTGCTTTTCTAAGGTGTGGTAAAAATAAGCATTTGTCTGTGTATTAGAGAATATAAAGGTTAAAAGAATTAATTAAAAAAAAAAAAAAGAGTGAGAGATACACTGTAAGGAGTAGGAAGCAACATTTGGTACCTACTACATGCCATGGTTTCCCCTTCCACCTCTCACCTCTCCTGGTCCTTCTCAAGGGCTTCCTGCTCAGCTTCCAGGCCAGCCTCGAGCCCAGCCCGCGCGTTGGTGCTGCTGTTCACGTTGGCGAGTTTCTGCCTCTGCTCTTCCATCTCTAGGCCCAGGGTGGAGCGCCTCTGCAAGGCCGAGTGCCTCCTCTCCAGCTTGGCCACTGCCTGCTCCAGTGCCTCTCTCTGCTGCTTCTCCCGGGATTCGAGAATCTCCTTTTCCTTTTTCCTCACTTTCTCTTCCTGACGTGCGATGTTGGCAGTGAATTCAAACGTGGCCTGCAGCTTTTGCAGCTGGCTCGCACTGGCTTGGTACTGCGTAAGTTGTTCTTCTTTTTCTTCCATTTCTTTTTCTACCTGATAGAGTGTGTTGTCTAAGTCGAGAAGGCCTCTGTCAAGGATTTCAAATGCTCTCTGCTTTTCTTCCATCAAAGCTGGCAGATGGTTTTGCAGGAGATACTGCAGCTGGCGCTCTTTATACTGCAGCCTGTACTCTGCTGGCTTTATTTTCTCTAAATCTTGAGCCACCTGGGTTACATGTTGGACACTACCATCATTTTTTGCCAACAACCTAGACTTGTCTTTATTTTCACATTTTAAATGCTCTAGGATTTCCTGTTCTTCTTCAACTTCTTTCTTCAGGAGGTCTTTCTGATGGACCAGGTCCTTCTCCAGGTTTGCTAGCTTGACTAGCTGCCTTCTCTTGAACTCTAGGAAATGCAACTGAGCCTTCTCTATTTCCTCCCCATCATCATCCCCTTCGGCCCGCGCTTCTTTGGCCCGCAGGAGGGACTCCCGGATGTCCTCTAGGTCTCTCTTCTCCTCCTCCACACGCTGGACTTCGCCTCGCTGCAGCAGTTGGATCATCTCCTGCTTCTCTCGGATCTGCTCTTCGAGATGCGCCACAAGCATGAACTGCTCCTGCTCTTGCTCCTCCAGTCTCTTCTTTTCCAGTTCAAGCTTGGCATACTGTTCATCTTTTTCCTTTCTGAGCCAGTCCAGTTCTCGAAATATCTGAATTTTCTCGGCCTTCTCATCATTGTTGAGCTCTTGGAGCCACTGGAGTTCTCTGACACAGAGAAAGCTCTCCTCCTCTTGTTTCTTCTTCTGCAATTCGAGCTCCTGCTGCTCCCTCAGCCTCTCCTCTTCAAACTTTTCCTTCTCAGCGAGCAAATCCTTCAGCTTGCTCTCAATATGGAAGCTGCGGCGTTTGAGGCTCTCCTCCTGCTTTCGGATCTGGAGCTGCACAATTTCTGTCTCCTTGCGCTGAGTCTCCACCTCCTGCTGCATCCGCTCCAGTTCAGCCTTGTCTGATTTCTGCTTTTCCTCCATTTCTTCTATGAGTTTCCTAAACCACAAAACGCCAACTGATCATTATTTGATCACTGTGTTCAAATGTTGCTCTAACTTTCCCTGTTCTGAAAATGAAGATGCAACATAAAGCCAAACCCTTCATTAAAATAAAAAAGAGAAGGAACTGCTTTCCTTTTAATTTCCTACAGCATGCTGTTTGATTTTTTTAATTCTTTAACTCTCTAATATATCATTTGCCTAGTCTCCTGAAGTAGCCTCTAATAATATCATTTCTTTGTGAGCCTAAAATCATAATGTGTTACGCATGATATAATTTAAAAAGCCCCTGAGCTTGAAGAGAAAGAACCATGCCCAATTTAAATTTAAATGTGAATAATTTTATTCAATCTGATGACTAAAACGCAGGAGAACTTCTATTACAAGATGACATTAAATAAAAATGCTCATGCTGTCCTCAACTCACGGGGGTCAAATATCTAAGTCAAGAAAATCGACAATTCATTGTTCCAACTCAAATAACCATGCTATTTAGCATTTAATCACTAGTTTAGGATAAATGGTGATTACCAATGACCGAAAATATTAGTTCATTGATGCATAACATTGAAAACAACCAGAATCTCCATTAGGATACTCAACTGCATGATTCTGGGGATTACATATTACGTTTTATCTTGGGTTGAAAAATTATGCCTAAAAACCAAACCAAAAACCCATTGCCATTGAGTAGATTTTGACTCATAGCAACCCTACAGGACAGAGCAGAACTGTCCGATCGGGTTTCCAGGGAGCAGCTGGTGGATCTGAATTGCCAACCTTTCGGTTAGCAGCCAAGCTCTTAACCACTGCATCACCGGAGCTCCAAATTATGCCTACTGGGATGGCCTCCAAAGCAAGAATATGGGTATGTAAGAGTATCAATGAGTGGCCTCCATCTCCTGGCCCACCAAAGATCTATCATGTATGATGCTGGAAACCAAACCAATTCATCTGTGACATCTAAACTCCAGATTCTAGAAAATAAATATTCCGTTTGCAGGTTGCCTATAGGCTTAGCTCCTAATCCAATATCTATCATTCCAATATCTACCATTTCTTGGGTTGTTAAATAAAACAGAGAAAAAGAAAAGGAGATGGTATTTATGGAATGTATCAAACAAAGAATTATATTTATAACATATAAAGAACTCCCTAAATCAACTAAACAAACACACACACTCTCCAGAAGAAAAGTGAGCAAAGAATATGAAGAGGCAAGTCACAAAAGGGGTAATACAAATGGCCAATCAATATAAAGAAAGATGTTTAAAAAGCAGAGATAAAAAAAGAAAATCTGTCATTCTTTTGGCTTTTTAAAAACTCAAAGGATAATTGTTAAGAGAAGCTACACCTTTGAGACACATTTTGTAAAGTATATATTTAGTATATTAAATTTAATTGGTGTATTAAATTTGCCTGTTGACTCTGATCCTCCTTTCTCACAAACATTTGCAGATGAATTATTTAAAAAATTCAAACATTAAGTAAAACCAACTGGCTACCAAGAAATGACCTAAAGTCCTTCGACATGTAACTAACAGACACAGAGTGAAGAGGGAGGTACTGACACAGACATAGATGAAATCAGGCCAGGACACGAACGCAGGAATCCACAGACTAAAACTCATACCCCACTTGGCTTACCTTTTACTTTCTAATTTTTCAAGTTCTTCACGCTGCTGTCTCTCAAATTCAAGTCTAATAAAATCAAATGAAAATGAGTCACTTTTCTTAAAGTTTTTCTCTTTCTTCCTCTCTGTATACAGAGTCACATAAATTACAAAGAACGTGTTTTTCAAGTATTATTTTAATTACCATAGATTAGCAAGCTTTACAATGCATTCTTTGCTCTATGACTATATTAGAAATCAGGCATACTTTTGAGTGCTTGAATTCAGACTGAAAAGAAAAAATTTTAAAGGAAAACAACAAAACAACACTGTACTGAAAAGGCAGAGTTAGATGAGACTTCTAAATGATAAGCATGCCTACTCCTGCCAGCTTACACATTGGTGAGTATATAGAAATGGAGAATTTCTACCTTAGACAGATGGGTCCTTTTATAGGGAAAAGACTGCCAGGGAGGTAGAGAGGGAGAGAGAGAGAGCACAGACATCAATTAAGAAAAAATTAACAGGGGAAACATCAAGACAAAAGCAATAAGGTACTTAAAAGCCAACAGCCATGCACAAATCGAAACATCTTTTTATAAATATCACACTGCCCAATAATTTCTGACGTAAATACTCCAAAGGTTAGCTCTGTTACATTTGCACACTTCACATATGGTAATAATCATAATACTGATAATAACTGAGTACCAATAATAACTGAGAGCAGTAGTCAAATTTATATTTTTACTACTTTATAGTTATTCTGCATGTTGGTTCGGCAAGATCCTATGTAATTTGAGCAGTTACGTGATACTGGAGTTACTGGAGGCTATATAGACTGTGAACAGATTTACCACTGTGGAGTTAGGTTGTTGAGAATTTTAAAATAACTCTCTAAAATATTGATAACACAAGTCGATTTCTTCTCAAATATCACATTTAATTATTGCAAGATTTCATTGTTTCCATTAAATCGCATGATTTGAAATTCTTAAACTCATACCTCTTGATGTTATGGTGAATGGTAGATACAGCTACAAAACTGAACTATGGAAAAACTGACTACAAATCTTTCTCTTTGGATAATGTACAAATCCAGATTGGCAACAGAGTTACTTTTACAATGAGCTAATAAATATTTCACACAGATCTTTTTCAATTTCTTTTGGGTTAATAGCGAGAGTGAGATGTTTGGTGGCTTCTTGTAAGCAGAACTGAGTACCTATTATGTGGCAGATGCCATGTTAAGTGATTTCCATGTTATATTAGTTGTTCTCCAGCAAACCCTTAAGGTAGCAAATTGTATCTCCATTTTACAGATGAGGAACTCGAAGCTCAAAGCTCGGACATGTTAAACTCAGAATGGAAATACATGATGGAGCTAGAATTTGAACCCAAGATAATCTGCTTCCAAAATACCCTCTATTAAATCATTTTATAAGCACTGCTCAAATTTGTGATATACAATAATTAGATTAATTCCTTCACTGAAACTCGTTGTTTAGGCTTATATTTACCCTACTGTCAAATGAAAATAATTTGCAGCTTATAGGCACTGCCATCCATGAGAAATTAGTCACACAAATATCTATGAAAAGCATTTGCCAGTCACAGAGCCCAGTCATTCCATAAAGTAGGTATTAAAAAAAAAAGTTGTCACTGAGTCCATTCCAACTCCTGGCGACCCTGTACTTGTCAGAGTGGAACTACGCTCCGCAGAGTTTCAATGGCTTCTTTTTTGGAAGCAGATCTCCAGGGCTTTTTTTCAATGCATCTCTGAGTGGATTCAAACCTCCAACCTTTCGGTTAGTAGCTGAACACGTTAACCATTTGCACCACCAAGGGACTCCCAAGGTAGGTATAAAAAAACAAAACGAAAAACCGAACCCACTGTTGTCGAGTTGATTCCGACTCATAGTGACCCTACAGGACAAAGTAGAACTGCCCTATAGGGTTTCTAAGGCTATACATCTTTACGGAAGCAGACTGCCACATCTGTGTCCTGTGGAACAGCTAGTGGGTTTAAACTGCTGACCTGGTTAGCAGCCAAGTGCTCTGACCACTGGGCCACCAGGGCTCCTGAAGTAGGTATACAAAAAAAAAATAAAAAACCTCGTTGCTGTCGAGTCGATTTCGACTCATAATGACCCTATCAGACAGAGTAGAACCGACCCATAGGTTTCCAAGGAGCACCAGGGGGATTCAAACCGCCGACCTTTAGGTTAGCAGTCGTAGCTCTTAACCACTACACCATCAGGGTTTCCAAAGTAGGTACAGGGCTTCATTAAGCTTATCATATGATCATTCTTTCACACAACAACAAATAGAACCTTGGGAAAGTTTCCTAATGGGTATTTTCAGACTTCAGTATAAGTTTAGTCTAAAGATATATACATAATCAAAAAGAATCACAAGATAAAATACTTTAAAAACCAGAGAATTTCTCTAATGAAATTGTATTTATTCTTCATTTTTATTTTCTGTGAACAACAGCTCAATGTGCCCATCAGTAGATACTGCTCTGGTGATATCATAAACCAAATGCTTCTCTGAAAGTTGGGAGATCTGAGTCTTAATATCTCCATCTCTGAAGTGACATTAACACTGATCACCAACTTAGTGCCAGGCACTATCCAAGCACAGGGGTTACAATAATCTGTAAGACAGATGTGGCCCCTGCCCCCATGGGGCTCCCACTCTGTCAGTGATAGTAAACACCACGCTTTCACCCCAGTGTGTCATGAGGCATGGGTGAGGAAGAACTCAGCGCTACAATATGCACAGGCGAGTACAGATCCCAGAATGTGGCAGTAACCAAAATCCTCACAAGTGGAATGATAACATCATGATAAATGGAGAAAAAATTTAAATCGTCAACGATTTCATTCTACTTGGATCAATAATCAATGTCCATGAAAGCAGCAGTCAAGAAATCAAACAACATATTGCCTTGAGCAAAATACTGCAAAAGACTGCTTTAAAGTTTTAAAAAGCAAAGGTGTCATTTTAATGACTAAGGTGTGCTGGACTCAAGTCATAGTCTTTTCAATCACCCGGTATGCATGCAAAAGGTGGACAATGTAAAAAGAAGAAAGAAGAAGAACTGATGCAACTGAATTGTGGTGTTGGTGCTTAACCAATGCACCACTAGGCTCCCTGGCTTCATTTCAAGTAAGTATAATTCACTATTTTAGTTTACTGGAATTATCTTTGGCCCCAAACACTAATTTCCGAATGTTATAATTAAAAGGAAAAACCGCAAAAGGGTGTAATTTTTACACCTATTTTTAGTGTTTTAAAATGGCATTTGGAAGTACACATACAGTGTTAGGTCCAACAAAAAGCACAGCGTTCAACCTATTTTTATCAGAAAGAGCCTGTTCTCTTGCATTCAAAGGCATCTAGCATTTTAGCTCTAGCAGCACATCTTGTAATTTATATTCTTGTTAGTCATCACTGTCAATGAAAAAAGCAAGGGGGTGGTAACTCCTCAGCTCCCACCATTACACTTAAAGTGAGACTGTGATTATAGGAAGACAGGGAGGGAGGAAGGAAGGAAAACTTAAATGAACTAAAAACATAAATATTCACACCCTTGTGTTATCCCAGTAGTGACTGGTTAAGTACCTCTGGTGGAATTTCATTTTCTAAAAGGAGGAAAATGGCTAGTCGAGTCCAGCTAACACTTGAACAGGCAGTTTTGGTGACAGTAAAGGAAAGTAAGCTCTAGACCACAATATACCGGGACGAAGATTTCACTCCACAACAGATGTTAGCTGAAGTTGGGGCCTTCATCTTGGGAGAGTCCCCCAAATGGATTTTTTTTTAAATCTCACTAGGTATACAATCAAGTAAGAGGGAAATTCTTGGTCAATGCAAATACCTGGATTTTTCCTAACTGACTTTTAGGTTACCCAGTAAAACTTGTGAAAGCTGGAAACGTATAAGGTAGAAACATGCGAGAGAAGGAAAATGCAAATATTTCCACTAACAGAAAGCGATAGAAAAGTGGTAAGACTGCACCCCGTCAAAGGCAGAAAACTTGCGAGACCCGGAAAAACAACGCAGTTCCATCGAGTTCCGGCTCTCACAGGTTTCACTGTAGCCAAATACAGGAATGACATCATGGGCATGTGACCTGTACAGTCACACAGGGCCCTGCAATTAATGCTCTGCAGTCATTATCTTGAAATTCTTAATAATTTTTTTTTTTAACAAGAGGCTCCCTAGTTTCATGTTGCACTGGGCCTTGCAAATTATGTGACTGGTTCTGGTCAAGCCTTAGGTTATCTTTGAAAGGACCCCCAGCGTGTTGCCTAGAATACTGAGTGGTATTCCTCAGTCCCTATTCTAGTAAAGGACAGATGGGATGGGAAGGAGCTAGGAAAGACTAGAACTCTACAGAAGATGGCTACCTTCCCCTGACTCTTTACAAGGGTCTAGGTTCTGCAATGGAACCTTCGGCCAGTCTCAAATCACTTTGTCACTGAGACAAACTCAAGGATATTAAAGACTAAAAAGAAAGTTTGGGTTTGGGTGCTGGGGTTTTTCAAGTCGTATCCGATCTTCTCCCTGACCTTGAAAACCCTGACATTCTAGACGTTCTTTGAAAGCTGAAGGAGAACCAGACATTCCCCAGGGTGGATGCAGGGAAACTGATGGAAGAAAGAACCTAGCCAATCATCAAGTCTCAATTCTTCATGGAGAGGTCATGCAGTCTTTCCTGTGTACATTAGCTCGCATGTACACTTTCATTAAAAAGCTAAGAAGAGCTGCGGCTATGGATTGTGTCTCCCAAAAATATCTGTCAATTTAGCTGGTCCATGATTCCAAGTATTGTGACTGTCCGCCATCTTGTCATCTGATGTGACTTTCCTATGTGTTGTAAATCCTACCTCTATGATGTTAATAAGGTGGGATTAGTGGCAGTTATGTTAATGAGGCATGATTCAATCTATAAGACTAGGTTGTGTCTTAAATCAATCTTTTCTGAGATCCAAAGAAAGAAACAAGCAGAAGAGACATGGGGACGTCATACCACCAAGAAACAAGGGTCAAGAGACTAGCGCATCCTTTGGACCTGGG